ATTTATGCAAATTATCTAATTTGCATATCAGCTAGTGAAATTCAAGCTACTAGTATTTGGGTGCTTATTTCAAGAACCATTCAACATATTTCAACAAAACTTGGTATATACATGTATTACAAATTCAGATAATTGCAAATATCATGTTATGTTATTCTCTCAACACACTGGAGTTCTTTTTAAGCTCTCTTTGATTCTAATTTTATTGAATATTTCTGTTATTTTTGTAAAAAATTCCACTTTTAGCATTATGTCTCACTCACTGCTTTTTTGGGTATTTGTCATATACAGCACTAATCTTTTGTACAATAGCCGTTGAGCAACAGGCCATTGGCCTATTTTTGTTCTCAGATACATGTATATCCTAATTACTTAAGTCTAGATGATATTGATATATAATTTTGTTGCACTGGTCTGCACTATCTATGTAAACATGTCAAACTACAGATTTTTGTTAGGCTATGACAATAGTATCACTCCTGGTGATCACTGAATTAATAGCATGGGCATTGTGAAAATTGCTTAGTTGAAGTATAAATGGCCATGCTATAATACTGTGATCATTCCTCAAGGCATTAAAAAAAACTGCTCTGAAGTTATGATATACAAGTTCATGAAATTCTAGAGTATGTATTGTAGAAGGATCAAATCCTGATACTCCCCTACTGACATCAGTAAAAACTGGTATTTCAATATTTATATCTTGTTTTATTATTTCATATAGGCATACAGAGCTCCATTCGCATTGTTGCTGGCATTATACTAGTAAGTAACTTCTCAGCTCAGTTTATTAAAAGAGTGTTACAAATGATAATACTTGAATCTTCTATTATATCTGATTCATATTACAGTGGTGCTCAAGAACCTCAACCTTTACTTAGCATGTCACCTGACCAAGTCAAACACAGAGCTCAGATTTATACAGATACTGATCTGTGGAACCGTTCTGCTGGTTAGTTAGTTAGTGTATATAATGTTTTTTCTTGTTCCTTTATTGAATATAGTCAATATCTGTCTGTGGTGTGTTACGACAGGTCTGAGCCGAAGACCAGTAATAAGTATTGTGACTTTACATGTATTTAATTCCAGTCACTCTCTGTTTCATGATTCACTTCATAAATTGTGTATTACTGTAAAATCTGTATTAGAAGCTGCTGCTTCTATTAAAATGGTACAATACAACACATGGGATGCGGCTTCTATTAGAGCATCTACACATATGAGAAATGGTGAATTTTTGAGGTACTGGTTGTGACATACTTAATGATGAAAATTTTATGCATAATATCATATTGAAATCTTTTTCGCAATATGGCATCATTTCACTGTGTATTTAAAACAAAGAGGTCAGAGTACTGTTACAAACTTGTTATGTTGCAGGGAAAATGTTTGGTGGGTTTGATAGTATGGATACTACATTAGAAAAGATAGGATTTGTACAAAAAGAAGGTGCACATAGTTCAAGGTAAGAGATCAGTCATACTGTAAATGTGATATTTTAAGACATATGACATCTGCAACATGTCAATGACAAAATACAATTGAAAGACAGTATGTGATGATCTCAAGAACTTCCATGCAGCAAATGGAACTGTAGTTTTGGACATTGAATGCAAGTTGTCTACCAGAGAATGAAATACCCGAATCTAGGTGTGGTGTTTTTAGTTCCTGTTTGGACAATTCAAGACCTTTCAGTGTGTTCCAGTCCATCCTTCCCTTCATCTGGTTCTGTACCTCAGACATGGTTTGCTTGGCCAATTACATTCAAACTTCACACACACATCATATCTCTTATATGTATATCTTATGCACATTGTTTTATCATCTAATTGCTGGGAAAGGATTGACCCGCTTTGTTATTAGTCCAAGAAAATTGTTCAGCTTGGAATGTACCAAGGAAATTGTTTTCTGGAGTAAATTGTAGTGTATTGTACTTATGAAAAGTCAAAAAGTGCATGGAGATTTTATGAAAATGTGTGGATGTTAACAGAATGATGTCATGTGGTCACAGTTATGTAATAAATGATGGACTATTTTGGGCGTAGCTATAAAATGTGTCACCAGAGTACTCCAATGTGTGCACGATTCCAATAGTTTGTGCTGTGAAGAAACTCCATTAGAAAATAAGTATTGTGTATTTTGTAGTGGGAATGTATTCAAATAGATTTATGTTCACAAGTTTCTTTTCAAAGTGTATTTATATAATTAAGAATTGTTTATAAAAATGTTTTTCATACTTTTTCGATGGATTGAATTTACCAATGATGAGTTATTTTGTTATACCATCACTCGAATTATGTGTTACGAATTTCTGATAGTTTAGGCTTTGTGTTCTTGCGAACGGAAAGACATTAAACTGTTGAACAGTGGACATCAATGAAAGCGAACGTATTTCGAAAGTTGTGAAATCATGGTACTGTTTTGGCATTATACGACTTGCAGCTCCCTTTTGATGGATTTTATGTGACTGGCCATGTTATCGAACTGTAGTATTATGTAAATCTGCCCCGAAAAGTTTAAATTGCCATTTTCACGCTGCGTTTAGCGTTGAGCCGTCATCTAAGTATGCACAATTGTTCATCTCATGTTCCCCGGTGCATTTAAAAATCTCTTTTGAATTTGGGGGACTTTGTGTGACTGACTGTGGTGTTTGTAAACTGTAGTCGAACTGTAGTAGTGTGTATTAAATCTGCCACAACGTGGTGTTGCCATCGTCTCTCATTTAAATATGTTTGTGCCTCAACGAGGACTGAAAAGTGATTTCCATTTACTTCGTCTGTTATAAATCAACTGTGTTAGCTTCCCTCGAACTTCCTATTGCCATTGGGATTATGTCTACTACACTCGGCGGTGTAGTTCGTATCGATCTTCTTGTATGAAACGCACCCAAACCCGGAAATCGACGGTAAATCGGGATGGTCTCGTCACGTAATTTCTTTAATACTGTATTGAATGAGGTGAAACAAACATGGTTGCCGTAATGCCTGTTCGACTACATCGCTCGTGTTTCTCTTTCTGTCTTAGAGTTTTCTGTTTTCTTGAAGTTTTTTTATTTCAATTAAAAAGTGACTTGGCTGTGACCATGCATTGTCGACTGTTTTTCTCGAATTGGTTGATTGTCATAGTAACATACGCTATGTACAATTAAACGTCCGGAGTTGAACAGTAGTCATTTCTAACATGATTATTAGTCCCCGTTTGAACGCAGTCCGAAAACGGGGACTTATGTTTTGACCTCCATGTGTCTGTGCGTGCATGCGTCTGTGCGTGCGTTTTAGAAATGCCTGGATCAATCACAATCAAACTTCACACATACATCATACATGATATTATACATATGCACGTCATTTTGTTTCTTGATCTGATTCAAGATGGCTGAATGGCGACCATTTTTGTGCTAAAAATCATCAAAATCAAGCATTTTTTGGCTGTTTACAGATGGATTTTGTTCAAACTTGGTATATACATTAGACATTATGGGACCTTAATGCAAATAATTTTGTTTTTCAGATAAGATTAAAAATGGCTGACTGGCGGCCATTTTGTTTTAATGAATGTGGTTCTTGTGCCATATCTCTGACTTGCTTTCACTGATTATGTTCAAATTTTAAATATTCATTATACATCATGTCATAGATAGACAGATATATTGGTTTGATCATCCTATTCAAAATGGCCAAATGGTGGCCATTTTTGTGCTAAAAAATCATCAAATATCAAGCATTTATGAATGGATTTTGTTCAAACTTGGTACATATATTAGACGTTACAGGTTCCTGATACACATCTTTTATTTTTCAGACCGGATTCAAAATGGCTGTCTGGCGGCCACTTTGTTTTAATGAATGGGATTCTAGACCCATATCTCCGACTTGTTTTGACTGATTATATTCAAATTTTAAATATTCATTTATACATCATGTCATAGATAAACAGATATATTGGTTTGATGATCCTATTCAAAATGGCCGAATGGTGGTCATTTTTGTGCTAAAAAATCATCAAATATCAAGCATTTCTGGCATTTATGGATGGATTTCGTTCAAACTTGGTACATACATTAGACATTACAGGTTCTGATGCACATCATTTTATTTTCAGATTGGATTCAAAATGGTTGACTGGTGGCCATTTTGTTTTAATGATTGGGCTTCTAGAGCCATATCTCTTGAATGCTCTGACTGATTATATTCAAATTTTATATATTTGTTATACATCATGTTATATATATACATGTATTCAAAATGGCTGATTTTGAATGCTGTTCCAGAGCAATATCTCTCAATATGGACAAGTACTTTTTTGACGATAAGATTCAAATGTCAATCATTTTAATGTTAAAAAATCATATTCCTGAGATGGTTATATTCCAGCTATATTACTATAAACAAAACTATATATCTTAAATTTGATAACTAACGGGGACTGTGCCATGCATGGCTTGTTTAATTTAGTTTAATTCCTTCAGTTAAAAATTGAGTTTCCAAACTAAATTGCTTTACTGTCTGTTCGCCAATTCATTGCTCCAAAACACACCTTTATTTTCCCAGCATCGAGATGGCTCTGCCAACTCTTGATCTAAATATCATCAAAATAAAGAATTTCTGCCATATTTCTCGTTTTTGGTTGTGGATCATGAGTGTGATGTGACAACCACTATGCTACCAGTGACCATGATGTGACAACCACTATGCTACCAGTGACCATGATGTGAATCTTGGTTATATATTGTGACAACCACTATGCTACCAGTGACCATGATCATGTGACAACCACTGTGCTACCAGTGACCATGATCATGTGACAACCACTATGCTACCAGTGACCATGATGTGAATCTTGGTTATATATTGTGACAACCACTATGCTACCAGTGACCATGA